TAAAGGGCCGAGCAGACCAGATTACACCATGGCACGGCATCACAGAGAGGATCATCAACGACGACGGTCACGACAGATCACAACATGGCACAGCATGACATGACAGACCAGAACTCGGACATGACTGAATATGACAGAACAGAACATAGAGAAGTCACGGCAACACAAGGCATAACATACCAACAACGCATTCCAGAGAAGAACATGATTGAACAGAAGTCGACCTAAACACAACATAACAGAACAGAGCCAAGTTTACCATAAAAAAGCCTTGCCAGACCATAGCAGATCATGGCACAGCATCATCTAGCACGGTACAACCTGACAGCAGAGCATAGCGAAACATACTAGCAAAGCAAGTCACCACATACCGTACAGAGCAGAGCCGTCAACGTACATAACATCACATAACACACCAGAGCATAACATGACATAATAGATGACGTCAGGGCACAATCGAATAACAACACATACTAGCAGAGTAGATCATACTATACTATACAGAGAAGGCTGTCACCAGCATCGCTGATCATACCATACTATAACATAGCCTAACACAACACATCATGGCATAACACCTTGTCACATAGCATATCATACCACGCCATCTCGTGTCATATGGTGGCAGGGATGAGCAGACCATAACATACCCAATCAGAAGAGAAACAGCTAAGCGACGAGGCACATCATCACCACCGGCGCATCTAACGTCACGCGCGTCACGACGTCACGCTGGCCCGTCGAGAACATGACAGGGCATAATTCACAGAGCAGAACATTGACAGAACGAGACTGCGTAATTACATGGAAAAGTAGGTCGAATCGTTATATGACATCCCGCAACGGCAAAATGTCGACCAGGGAGGCGCCCGCGCGCCCGGGGAACCACCCGCTTCCGGCTTCGGTGGGCATCGCCCGAGGCAGAACCATTTTCCTGCCCAAGGCGGGCCGCCCACCCGGGGCCGCACGCGCCCGCCGCGCGCCCGCCCGCAGCGCCCGCCGCGCGCCCGCCGCAGAGGGGCCCGCCGCGCGCGCGCGGGGCTCGCCCGCACCCCGCGGGCCGCCGCGGCCGCGGCCGCGGCCACCCTCGAAGGCAGGGCGACTCGCACGGCGCCGCGGCCGGCCGCCCGCGGGCCAGCCGGCGGCCCGCGGCGGACAGCGCGCCGCGCAGCGCGAGGCGCGTGACGGGTCGTCTGGCGCGGCCGCCGCGGCCGCCTCGGCGCCTCGGGGGAGCTGCTGGATGATCGTCGGGGGGGGGGCAGCCGCGTGGGCGCAGGCGGCAGGTCAGCGAGGCTTGGGCTTGACGTAGCCGATGGAGATCGCCTGGCCCTTCCACTCCGCACCGTCCAGCCGCACCGCCTCGTCGACGGCGGCCTCGGAGGAGAAGTTGACGAAGGCCATCCCGGAGGGCCTGCCAGTCTCCTTGTCCATGACGACGTTGACGTTCCTGGGCCCTTCACCGCACGCCCTGAACTTCTTCATCAGGTAGGCCTCGGTCGCGGCCTCCGCCAGGCCTCGGACAACGACCGAGGTGCAGCCTGGCGGCTTCACCTTCTTCTGCTTGCTCTTCGCCTGAGGAGCGCCGCCGTCCCCGGCGGCGCCGGCCGCGTACTCCACCTTGAAGGGGCGGCCCTTCAGCTCGGTGCCGCTGAGTCTCACCGCCGCGTCCACCGCCTCCCCGCTCGCGAAGTCCAGGAACGCTATTCCCGTCGGCTCGCCAGTCTGTTTATCAGTCTTGATCCTGACGCTGGTGGGGCCACCGCCGCAGCTCTTGAACGCCTTCTTGAGCGACAGCTCCGTCACGGCAAATGCCAGGCCCTTGACGACTACCGACGTGCACCCGTCAGGCTTCTTCCCGGGGCCCTGGCTCTTCTGCCTGGGCGGGGCGTAGTCCATGGAGAAGACGCGGCCGTTGAGCGTGGAGCCGTGCAGCTTGACGGCCTCATCGACGGCGTCTTCGTCGTCGAAGTCGACGAAGGCGATGCCCCTGAAGGCGCCTGTGGCCCTGTCGCGGAGCATGTTGACGTGCTGCACCCCGGCGCCGCAGCCCTTGAACACCTTCTTCAAGTCGTCCTCCGAGACCGAGTAGGCCAAGCCCTTCACGATGACAGAAGTGCAGCCTGCTGGCTTCTCCCCAGGGCCGCCCCACGCGTCGCCCTTGCCAGCGCCTTTGCCAGCCCCCTTGGCGGAGCGCTTGCCACTCTCCTGCTTCGCCACCTCGACCGTCAGCGCCCTGCCGCCGTAGTCCTGACCGTGGTACGCCAGCGCGGCGGTCACCCCCTCCTGGCCCGCGAAGCTCACGAACGCGATGCCGCGGGACGTCCCCGACTCCCGGTCCAGCAGCAGCCTGCAGCTCGTCACCTCCCCGCACTCGGCGAAGTCCTCCCTCAGCCGCTCCTCCGTGATGTGGAAGGGGATCCCGGCCACGACGACCTTGTGCGCCTCCGCGCCCGGCGCGGCCGAGCCGGCACGCGCCCGCGGCGCCTCGGTCGTGGCGTCGCGCCCTCGCCTCTTCGCCGCCGGCTCCGCCGCGGGCGCCTCCGGCGGGGCGCCGCGCTGCCGCCTCTTCGCCGCCGGCTCCGCCGCCGGCGCCTCCGGCGGGGCGGCGCGCGGCCGCCTCTTCGCCGCAGGCGGCGCCGCGGGCGCCCCGCCCCTGCCGGCGGCGGCGGCGGCCGCGCCGCGCTCCTCGCGGAGCTGCAGCTTCCTCCGGCGCCGCGCCTCCTTCATCTCCTGCCGCCAGGCGCGCATCTCCTCCGCGGCCTGCGCCGTCGCCTTCGCCCTGCGCCCCTCGCCTTCGCCTGCGCCCTTCGCCTTCGCGCCCGCCGCCTTCTGCCCCTTCCCCATGGGGCCGGCCGCGCGCCGCCGAGGGCGGGTGGGGGCCCCCGCGGGCGGTCGCGCGCGGCGGGCCGCTCTTCGCGCGGGTGTCCCCGGGCGGAGGCCGGGGCCCGGCAACCATGGGCCGCAAGGGCTGCGGACCCCTGCGCGCAGGGAGGCTGCGAGGCTGCGGGCCCCCTCGCTCTGAGGAGCCGTCGGCGGTCTTCGCGGGCGACTCCGCGCGCCCCGAGGTCTGTGAAGGACGGGGCCTCCTCCGTCCCCTCCTGCTTCGCTTCTCCATGCTCACACGTCATTGCCGATGCCCTTCCTCTGCCGCTCTCCTTCCTCCAGCACTCCGGGGCCTGGGCTCGCTCGCGTTTGCACCTCGGCGAGGGCAGAAACGTTCGAGGCCGGAACACGTGACGGCAAAACACATGCCTGCTGGAGGCAGCGCCTGCTGGTTCACTACAGAATCAAGCATGCTGGCTTTTTAGAAATGTCTGCCTTCAGCGAGCTCACTATCCCTCCTCCGCGCTCCTCGAAGTCGGTCAGGGGGTGGACCTTCTCGCGGCCTGCGACGCACTCCAGCCAGGCCCTCGCACAGGCCTCGTGGCGAGCGCACAGGGGAGTGGGGGCGGCAAGAGAAAGCGGAGGGCAAAGCATGATGACGAGAAGGAGGAGAGGAGAGGAGGACATGAAGGAGGAGGAGGAGGAGGAGAAACAGATGAGGGGGGGAGGAGGAGGAGGAGGAGGAGGAGGAGGAGGAGGAGGAGGAGGAGGAGGAGGAGGAGGAGGAGGAGGAGGAGGAGGAGGAGGAGGAGGAGAGGGAGGAGGAGGAGGAGGAGGAGGAGGATGAGGAGGCGGAGGAGGAGGAGGAGGTTGAGGAGGAGAAGGAGGAGACGGAGGAGGAGGAGGAGGAGGAGGAGGCGGAGGACTGGGATCAGAAGGGGGAGGACAAGACTGATGATGAGGAGGAGGGGTAGGAGAGGTCACGGCGGCCAAGACGCTACCTCCACATCGGAGGAGGAGGGCGAGATGCCTACTCTCCAGGGCCCGCTGGCTTGCGCACGCGAGCCTCGCGGTGTGCCACCTTCGCCGGAAACAGCTGCTCGCAGCGGGCCCCCGCTGCTGCCAGACGGCCGCGGGGTGCGCGGCGAGAAGTCTGGTCGGACCCAGCACTGCAGCGGTCTGCGCGCCGTTTTGCCGAAAGTCCCTCCTCTTTTTTCGGGCCCCGCGACCATCACGGATCCATCCGGCTCAAACAATGGCGCAGAAAGGCGGTGCCCAGGGCTCTGGTCGTGATTTTTTCTGCGAGGCTGCAACTTCTCGATGCTTTTGCTGCAGCGTCGGATCTGGAGAGCTCCCCGAGCGCCGAGGGGGGCAGCGCTCAATGCAGACTACCACCCCATCTGCACGCGGAGGGGCGCCGAGCACCGAGCTGGTCGGGAGACTCTTCATGGGGGGGGATCCCATGGGGGGATAGGATCCCAGGGGGGGGATCCCATAGGATCCCCTGGGGATCCCATGGAGAGTCTCCCGAGCTGACCAGGGCTGGCATGGGGCACCAGGACACCCGGCGAGAGGAAGGGAGGAGTAGACAGGGGACCCAGACCACCTTGCGAGAGGAAGGGGGGGCGTAGACAGGGGACCCAGGCCCCCTCGCGCTGCAACAAAAATCACGACGGGAGGTTTGTCTCTATTTTCGGCCTCTGGGGGCCCTTCCCGGGCCTCGGGACCGTCAACAAAAAAAACCTCAGGATGAAAAGCCGGTCCCTGGGAAGGGGTCCGGAATTCTGAGGCACGCCATGGAACAATCACGACGTCGGGGGCCTGGGGAGGGAGGTGGAGGGCGGACAGGATGCAGCCGAGGGAGCGTATCCGCCAAGCGCGGCTGCACCACGCACGCGCTGCGGCGAGCGCCAAGCCGTCGCCGGCATGCCGCGAGCGGCCGCGCGCGCCCGCCGCAGCCTCCTCGCCACCTCGAATCCTCTGGGTCACCTCCGTCTCCGTGAACCTGCGTCGCGGCTCCCGGTGTGCTGGGGCCTTAAGGTCCCCGCCGCCGGCCGCGGGGTGGCCGCCCTCGCGGTGAGCGGGCCCGTGCTTGGACCGGGAGCTCGCTGGCCCCAGGCCTCGATCTGCGGCTGCTCCTGGTCGTCGAAGCTCGAGGCCGCGAGGAGATGGCGCCGTCACTGAGGGGGCACGCCGGCAGCTTCCATCCTCTCTCTGGCCATCCGCAGCCCCTCGGCCGGGTCCACGCCCAAGGCCGTAATCAGCGCGCGGCCGAGCGCGTCGTTCTGCCAGAACCCGGGTTCCAGAGACTGCGCAGCGCCCGCTGCATAAAGCGGGACGTCCACAGCTGTGTGGCCATGGCTCGTAAAGCCCACCCCGTACGCGTGCCGGGACAGCCCTTGCGCGAGGGCGAACTGCAGGGTGCCGCCGCCGTCCAGCCGCATCATGAGGTCTGCACACTGCTCTGTGTGGCCAACCTGGCAGGTACTTGCCACCTTCGATGCGTTGATTAGCTCGTCGGCTATGTCTGCGAGTTCCTGCACAACCTCCTCGGGCAGCTCGGCGCCCCCTGCGGCGGCTGCGACGGTGGTCCGCACGGCCTCCGCGGCGCTGATCCCTACGGCTTGGCCTCCGGCCAGGGCAGTGTAGATCTCGTTCGCCATGGCAGCCGCGCTGGACCCGGCCAGGTTCAGCCCCGTCAGGTTCATGTCGTAGGCGTTGCAGCACCCCAGGGAGAGGCCCCCCGTCTCGTGGTCCGCGGTGACCGCCAGCAGCGCGCCCTCTCGCCCAGAGACGTAGCCCAGCGCCTCGCCCACGGCGTCGTCGAAGGCGAGCACCTCTCGCGCCACCGCCGGCGCGTCGTTCGCGTGCCCCGCGTGGTCGATGCGACCGCCCTCCACCAGCAGGAACAGGCCCCTGCCGCCGGAGGCGGCCGCCGGCCCTCCGGCCGAGAGCACGCGCAGAGCGGCGGCGGTCATGTCGCGCAGGGAGGGCACCGCTGGCCCGACCGAGTCGTAGTCCAGCTCGTAGGGGAGGTGGCTCTCGGCGAAGAGCCCAAGGAGGCGGGGCGGCCGCCCACTCCTGGCGGCCTCCGCCTCCGCCTCCGCGCCCGCCCTCAGGGAGGAGAGGTTGAGCGCGATGCGGTAGCCCAGAGACTCCGCCTCTTGCAAGAGGTCGCGCCCGTCCTGGCGCCCGCTCGCCTGGAACTTCTCGAGCCCGCCCCCCAGCAGCACCTCACAGCCCTGCTGGAGCTGCTGGCGCGCGATGAGATCCTCGTCGCTGCGGGATGGCGTGTGGGCGCTGAAACTCGCCGGCGTCGCGTGCGTGAGCCTTGTCGTCGTCACGAGCCCAGTGAGGAGGCCTGCTGCCTCAGCGCCCTCCATGATCGTCCCGACGGCCCGGCTTGAGTTCCCGCCCAGCTCGCCGATGCGGAGGTTGTCGGTGCGGTGGCCCGTCGCCAGCGCCGTCGCGGCAGCCGCCGAGTCGGTCACCAGCGAGTCGCGCGACATGGTGCCCACGTGCCCGATCAGCAGGCCATCCAGGTGCAGCGCGGGCACGGGGTCCAGGAAGCACGACCCACTGCTGCGCGCTCGCACGCCCCGCAGCTCCACCAGCGCGCCCCCTGAGCTGATGTTGAGGAGCAGCCGGAAGCGCCCCGCGTCGAGAGCCAAGGCCGGCGCAGGGGCGGACCACGTCCAGTTGCCGTCGGCCCCCGTGCCCGCGGCGCCGGGGGCCCACTGCGCCTCGACGCCAGCGAGCTGCCTCCAGGCGCCGTGGGCGCGCGCAGCAGCCACGTGCAGCGCAAGCTGAGCGCCCGCCGGCGCCTGCGCGCGCGCCTCCACGCTCACTGCGACCTCCCAGACCCCCTCGCGCTGTGAAAGCAGGGGGCCCAGACCACCTCGCGAGAGGAAGGGGGGCGTAGACAGGGCACCCAGGCCCCCTCGCGCTGCAACAAAAATCACGACGCGAGCTTTGTCACTATTTTCGGCCCCCCGCGGGCCCTTCCTGGGGACCGTCCAACAAAAAGCGACCCCCCTGGATGCAGAACCGGTCCCCGGGAAGGGGTCCAGACTCCTGCGGGGCACGCCACGAAACAATCACGGCGTCGGGGGTCTGGGCCTCGGCATCGTGGAGGCACTGCATGTGGAGCACGGCGAGGCCGCGGCCCGAGAGCTGAAGCCAGGCCGCCGTGGTCGCCGAGGCCGCGGCGGGCAGGCGGCGGAGGTCGCCGGTCACCGCGGCGCAGGCGGCGGGCACGGCCGTCTGGCACTGCTTCCCGAGCAGCACCTCGGCGGGGCCGCCGCGCGGCCTGCAGCGCTCGGCGTGCAGGGAGCAGCTCCCGGGCGGCCCCGCGCCGAAGGCGGCCGTGAGGCAGGCGTCGTCGTCGAGGCACGCCTGCGCGCACTCCTCCCGCGTCGCGAGGCTCCCCGCGCCGGGCGCGCCTGCGCGCTGGCACGGCCCCGCTCCCGTCGCCGGCGCCTCCATCGTGCAGAGCTGCCGCGCGTGCGCGTCGGGGATCCGCGCGCCGTCGCCAGCGCCCTCCGGGTAGGCGCTGGCCAGGCGCGCGGCGCGGGCCAGGCCCAGGGAAGCCCGCCCGAAGCCGTCGCCGATCAGCTTCGGTGGCAACTCGCGGGAGCCTCCCATGCCATCTTGCCGGCTCTTGCGAGCCGACGCTAGTCGACGCCATGTCGACGCTAATCGACGCTACATCGGCGCCACCTCATCGCCTCCCAGAGGCTGATCGACGCTAGAGACGGAATTGCGAGGGTATACAAGGCTCCCACGATTTGCTGCCAAACATCATCAGGATCAGGGCGTCGACCCTGGCGGGGCGCGGCTCTGCCTCCGGCCGTGGGGGCGCTGGCGACGGACCTCCGGGCAGAAGCAACGACTGCTTCCAAAACATCGGCTCTCGGCGGACGGCGCAGACTTCTCTTGGATCGGCGCTGGACGCATTCTTCCTGGGCGCGGGGGGGCGGCTTGGGAGGCGCCGTCGCCAGGGCTAGCCCCTCGCCGATCCAAGAAGCCGCGTGGACCTCCGAGAGCCTGTAGCTGTGCTGTTGTTCCTCCTCTTCGACCCCCGGCGTCAGAGCGCGCGAGAAAAGCCGCTGCGGTAAGCACGACCGCGACCACCAGCGAGAAGCTGGCGACCCCCCACCGCGCCCACCGGCAGCGTTGACGAGGGGCGTCCAAAGGAGGGGCGGCGAATCATAATTAGCCCGAGGCACGTGCGCGGCACAAGAGGGCGGCCAACGTCTCTGCGAATGAAAAAGAAGTGGCTGTGACATCCAGAGGAAAAAACGTGGCCCCAGCCATGTTATCCACATCTCTCCTCCTCCTGCTCCTCCACCTCCTCCTCCTCCTCCTGCACATCCTCCTCCTC